AATCATCCCATGTGTTTATTACTTTGCTCTTGAGTTAAAACTTTGCTCATTGGGTCGCACGCAACTTACAGATGCACTCTCATAGCATTTTCTCTAATGTCAGTGTGTATGTATATCCCTTCTTTAGCTATGAAATTTACTTAATCTCTATTCTAACATACCCACCTACACAACTTACCACCTTCACGGTAGCAGGCATGAACCGTAAGCGGGTTATCAAGATTTTGCTCGTGAGCCAGCTTTAAAAATCTAGGAAGCAGGATCTCAGGTGCGCAGGAAAGCTTTGAACCCTTGACACAAAATCCACACAGATTGCCACACAAACGAGCGTATTAATCTTACCATAAATTTTGGTGCGCATTATAATGTCAGAAACCAAGAATATAGAATCACACTTATTTACAAAGAAATAATCAAAACACAAATAGAAACCTTTACAACACACACTCATGTGAATGAAACACATAATTACTTTCAAAATTGATACTTACATAAATTACTCTAACCTACACTGGGGAATTCCCTTGGAGAAAATTAATTATATCTAAAATTGTGTGCTATTCTAATTACATTGCACGTGAAATCGAAAAAATTCAATTTACAATCTCTCGCTTCAAGATATTAACATGTAAAGAACAAAATGTGTGCGTAGTGCACTACTTTAATTTACCAATGTAACTGTGTCTGAAAATAATAGCGAAATAATTAATGTGCCTAAGATAGAATGTTTTTAGGCAGGCAATAGCCGCACTCAAAACGGTCTCGCTACTATAATACTGTAATTTATTATGCCACCCGTGCCCTCAAATTCTTGACACTTTCCATATACTAGGTTTCCCTGCCGACGTGAACTTGACCTATTCTCTGCGATTTCCAACTGTTACCTCGTAGACTTTCCAATTTTGTCCTTGATGGTCGTGCGCTAGGTCCGCCTGCGTTGACGCCGTTCGTCCGCTCTGCGTCGTAAGAGAGACGCGATTCGCCTCTGCCGTCTGCGTTGCCTTCTCTGCGCCTTTCCGTTCTTCCTCACAAACGTTCCGTCTTCTCCACGTTGCGCCTGTATACTCGGCCTCTTCTTTCTTCTCGTCTGACCGGCGCTCCTGGACTACGCCCACGTTGCGAAAAGTCCCTTGCACTTAACCGAATACTCGTGCAAGTCCTCGCGTCGTTGCTTATCTTCTACTTTTACCAAGCCCAAAACTGTATAATGTTTCCTCACAAACGGGAACTTTACTTCCCCGTGTTGTTAATTAAGAAACACTACTTAATCTCACTTATCTCGCGACGACGTAACCTAGAACGTCTGTTCGACGACCGCAATACTCCTACCTAGTAGTCGTTGCAAACGCAAACAATATCTAATGTTTAACGAAAATGTTGACTCGTCGACGTGATCAAAAGAGCAGCTGCTTACTCACGGCGTGGTACAGAAAAGAGAGCTTCCGCTGCGGCGTTCGCGTCATTTTATGGCCGGCCTCGGGAATTTTGTGGTTGGCGCTACTTCCGCTCTCTTAACCCTTCACAAGGAAAACATTGCTTGCAGTTCGCATTCGCTAGTACGGGCAACGGATACCAGGCGCTGCGTTTAAGTGACCTCTGCCTTACACGCTGTTATCCTCCGCTGCTACCGTAGTGTTCACACATGAGACGGTGGTGTTATGGGGTTGCACAATCCCATAACGCCACACTATTCTCTTCTTCGAAAGGTTCATTAAGGCACTGATAAATAATGTGATATGTGCACTAATACAATGATAAACATCAGTAAATAATGCAACATATGTGCGAGATGAAGTTAAATGCTGGTTAAATGCTGGATCTTGCAAAACAGTAGCAACACAGAACGATATTGTTGTGTTTAGATCAAAAGTATTCCTATTCGTTCTTTTTGCTTTCTCGCCCTTACTAATCAACAAGAAAAACTCTTATTGCCGGGCACTGGTAACGAAAATGTGGATAAATCCTGTTGCTATATATAGTAAATTTCTTCATTTAATACGCGTTTTTAATCCATATTTTGTAAAAAAAATCGAATTAACGGCACACTGTGTCTGTCCGTCTATGGTCATTGCTAGCATATAAACTGTTACACCCATTTTCTCCAAAATTGATATTCCCCAATCAATCTTGCTGATGTTGATGCCCCTTGAATTTGAAACTGATATTTTAACTTTGGGGGTATTTTACATAAAGCTTCTGAAACATTTGTAAAACTTAAAAAAAATGCTCGAATATTTTTATTTAACTGTGTTGTTGGATGACGTAAAGGACGCTTAAGAGAATGGTGCGTTGAAAAACCTGATTTTCCAAAGTTGCAAAAGCTCATTTTTTTTGCGCCTTTTTCCTACAACTAAAATATTGGAAATATATATTTTTTCCTTATTGAAATCTGTTCTTTAAAGATACGTTTTGAAATAAGGTCAAATACAAATTTTCCAAAGTTTGAGTAGTTTTCCCATAATTTTGCACTAAATAAAGGCAGTTTTAAAACATTTTTCCCCAAAAATCGGCTTCAATTTTTTTCTTTAAATTTTCTCTTCGTGTGTATCAAAGGATGGTAAAAAACGTGGTGCTCTTCATATTTCCGGCGAGCTCTCTGTATTTTCAAAAATTGGAAAATAATCGAAATTGAAAATTCGAATTTCCTGGACTTCGCTGTCAGTTCGCAAAATGCCAGTAAGGGAGTTTCAAATTATATAGGAATGATTCTCATTGTTGCTAGTCGTGATGGTCGTATGATATAGACAAGTCTTCCAAAAGGAAATAGATTTAAGGAAGGTAATATATTTAACGTAGAACTAACAAATATATTTATTTTACTTAAAGACGTTTTGATCGCTGATTATGTAGTTCAGAAATTGTAGCTCATGTCGATGTAATCAAGTCAAGTTTATGTGCAATGTTATTCTTTATTTTCTGTATAATATGCTGCAAATACAGAAAGAGTTAAATTTATTCATGTTTGTTTCATTTGTAAATGTTAGAAATTACTACTGTTCCCGGCTATTGAAATAATGCAGATATGCACTACAGGCGCAACGTTTAAATGGGTTGAATTGGACTTCTCATGTTATATATGAGTTTTTAGTATGGCAGAAATTACAATATTTCAATATTGCATTACTATTTCCAGTAATATGAGAAAGTATGTACTCCTGCTCGTGTCTAGCTCTTGGTCAGCGTGTTCGCTTTCCACTACGCGGCCTCGGGTTCGATTTCCTATGGAGCCAAGACTATAGCGTGAGTTTTCCTTGCAATGTCCCAGTTTATGTTGCTGTGTGACGATGAGAAAAATCCCTTCTCAGGTTGAGGAGACCGGAATACGGCGTGGGGATGGACACGTTAGCTTCCGCGACTCGATTCCATAAATTCTTCGCTATCCGGGAGATGCCGCGTCGTTGGCTGAGAGGCCGACGTTTGGCCTGATATGCAGCTTCCTCAGGGCAGTGACTATATATACATACTATACAGGACTGCATACATGTCATATACATGTCACTGTCATATACATGTCACTGACATACTGACATATACATGTCACTGCCCTGAGGAAGCCTGCTACATGTCAGGCGAAACGTCGGCCTCACATACATATATACATACATAGATACGTACGTACATATATACATAGATACGTACGTACATATATACATAGATACGTACGTACATATATACATGTGTACTCCTAGTTTTTCTTCATTCGTCGTGAATAACGATATTCGTGTAGAAATATCTCTTTCAATTTTACGTTATGCAACACTGATAGCTGGTATATAGGTAGGTGATTGGGACGTAAGTAACGGGTGTATTATTGTAGAGAAGAAAATGTATTATTTGTTGTTAATAAATTAGCTTTGGTTTGAAGAAAACAGTTGTATAATTGAATTGGTGAAAAACAGAACGATATAAGCGACATAATATAAATTCTGATAAATATGTTTATCTAAGTCATTATCACTGTAAAGTCGTGGTTCTTTGTTTCATCATTAAAACCACGGCATTTCAATTGTTCATTAAAACCACGAAATTCATTGCCACTGAAATATAGCCTGAAATAAACACGTTTTTTCCAGAATTTATAAAATGTCATACCGTTCGGGTTTTCATCCATTCAATTATGCCACACGATGATACACCTATTCATATTAGTAATAAAATGTAAATATGCCAAACGTAAGAATTAGTATTTCACACTCCTAGAGGTTCTGTTGTAGGGAATCCCCGTAATCTGTTCTATTGCTTCTGAACTCGAAGGATGAGATAATACTTACTGCGAATCTATAATATTCGTCCCTATCATAATTTATCCTTCCCACAGGGCAAGGGGAAATTGATCAACGTACGTGATTGGTATACAGTGTTTCAGTCGTATTCTGTCAGAGGATCACTACTAGTTCTTGAGTAGTGTAATATTCGTTTTCAGATGATGCTCAGCTTTCCTCAAAAATTTAATCACTCTGCCGCCATTTCCCTGGATATATCAAGCATACTACGCTTACAGGACCTGATCTAAGTAGTTTACGTCCCCTGAATAAATACTCTAAAAATCCTCCAGAAGTCTCACAAAAGTATGGCTTGTATATCCGAGTATTCACTGTCCTCAGTGCTGAATTTACCTACACGAAAAATAAGCTATTTCTTGGGACATTGTGCCCAGCACCCCGGAAAAAAGTTGTTAAATGTTCGAAAACAGAGTTAAATTATATTTATATCTGTAAAATAATTATTTGAGTAGTCTGTATGAAACTAAACGTGGATTGCAGTTTGGGACAGGAAATTAAAAATGTATTTAAATTTTAAAATGTAATGTAGGGATGTTAAATTCTCTAAGCAATTTGTTAATTCTTATTTTAGTTGTACAAAAAGTATTTTATTATAATGATGGTTCTTTTATGTTTTCAGTAAATTTGAAGGATTTTTTAGGGGAGCGGACAGTTGTATTTTGTGCTTGGGACTCCGCAATACCTAAAACTGACCCTGACTGTCTGATGTGTTCCCAGGGACAAGATGGTGCGCCTGTGGGTGCGTGAAAACGCAACTAGCCGTTTCGCAGAGGCCGATTGCTCCCCGCTGGAAGGCCACCGCTACTCCGTGCTGGCGGCCGAGTTTGCCCCCGGCCCCTCCCCTCAGCTGGCCACCTGCTCCTTGGATGGCGAGGCCCTGCTTTGGGACATTCAGGTTCGCCACGCGAGCGAGGGGGCGCATCTGAGGCGTTTGCTATCGATTTATTTATCATGACGATGAAAACTGAGAGAGATGGGGAGAAATTATACTTCGTGGATATTTTTCTTGGTCTCTACAATCCTTGTATCGAATATTTTACTATGCCTACATACTAGGTTGACGTGCGAGTGAAGATACAAATATTCTTGGTTGGCAACATTTGAAACTAGTTTTTGTTCCTAGCATGTGTACGTCGAGTAAAGATTGACGAGTGAATTTCATAATATAATGTGCAGTAAAGTTTAATAGCTTCAAGAACCACAGGGGTGTGCAGTATGGTGAGTCGTCCTATTGGATAGTTGAAAGGCGGCATTATGTATCAACACTAGCTGAATTTATTATTTGCCAAAAGTTATTTATATGTATCTTTGAATTCATGCACTACCTGACGAAGGGACATAATTCATATCCAGCTTATTCTCATCTAAAATGTGACGAAAATATATTCCCTTCATATTAAACTGTGCTCGCCAGAAGATTTTGTTTCTCGTCAAATGTTCTCAAATGGAATTAAATGGTTTTGAAAGCAAACGCATTTCAACTATCCAATAGCACGCCTCACCATACCCCACACCCTTGTAGTTTATTGGTACTTATAAACATCTGCCCCTGATTCGTTTCCTACAGAACTGAAGTTACCCCCTCCCTCTTCAAATTCATTTCTGACCCACCCTGATGATTCGTCCCATACCGAACTGAAATCCCCTCCCCCTCGAGTTCGTCTGACTCCGCCTCTCATTCGGTATTTTGAACGTCCTCCCGGGGAGACGACCGCTGCCTCAGCCTGAAGTCGGATTGCGGCGTGTGCGCAGGCGGGGGAGCGCGCCGACTCGCCGCTGCAGTGCGCCGGCGGCGGGGCCCTGCGCACGCTACGCATCTCGCCCGACGGCCACCTGCTGGCGACGGCCGGCGACGACGAGAAGGTGGACGTGTGGAGCCTGCACTCCGGCGAGATGCTGCTGTGAGTAGCGGACTCCCTGCGGCTGCCAGTATGTCGTTGGCGCGAAAGAAAAGTCGATCAGAAGCCCTCTGCTCGAATTCCCTCCGCCTCTCCCCAATGTTGCTTAATTAAGGGATCCGCCAGCCCGCCAGTCTTAATGCAATGTTATGCAACTCGCCACTGGACATAGTGTTTAACCAGATTTTGTCAGTAATGTAAGTAATGAAAATGGTATACTTTTATTGGGTGAAGAATTCAGTTTAGAATTTTATTAGTATTTTTACTAGAAAAAAAAATGAATGAAATTCACAAACAGATGATATATAGTATGTTTTGTCTTCAGTCGAAATATAAACTTCTCTGCTCAGGATAAAACATTTGTTGTTGTTGTTGTTTTTCTGAAAAATTACATTTTCTTTGTAGATACTTCAAAGATACTCGTGTATCTTTACTTGTGCACCGACGATATCGAAATACAATTATGTAGATGAGAACATGGCCCCAGATAGAAATAGATGCATACATATTTATCGTGTGCATACATATTTATTGGATACCATCCATACCAATATTCCAATACAGTGGAAGACTGAAATAGTTGTCTGTACTACTGAATAAAATACACTAGCTTTTCTATATGCCAGTTTTTTCTCTGAAGATGTGCTGCAAATCTAAAGAGAATTGAAATAAACGGTGTACTCCAAATTTCCCATTTCCTAAACATGCTTATTCTTCAAGAAAAAAAGCCCCTCCCTCCTCCAAGGAAAGAGTTGGACCAAATTTGAAGTATCATACTTTCCTCAATTTTCATCCAGAATGGATGATTTTCTTTTCCTGAAATATGGAAATGCACTTCTTTATAACTGTTTACGTTAAAATATATGCTCCTTTACAGTGCCCTTGCTGTCACAGAACAAGCGTTGTATCAATTTGCAGAAATAAATATGAATTTAAAAGCTATATATGAACTTAATATACGTTTAGACGTTGAAAGAATGAAACCTTTATTTCAAAAAGAAAAATGAATCATTGAATTGGCCAAATGTTCAAAAAATTGCTACTTTTTAACAAAAGGGGATATTTTACTTTTTTTCTGATGTAATTCATCCATAAGTACGATACTGGTTTACTCTGTTCCAGAAATTATTTGGGGTGCTCAAAAACAGGCAGCAATGATACGCGCAAGAAATTTTGCTGTCGCTGCCCTAAACAGTCACGGGTGATAATTCCCTGAGCTTCATTGTCAGGTTTTTTTCTTACAAAAAACCCTTCGGGGCAAAAGTTTGAGTATTCATAATATAGGCTGTGCAAATTCAAAATGGCGAAGTAGATTCGGTGACAGTGCTAGAAGTCAGTGACCATGAGAAATTATTGCTGTGATGCTGTCATGGAAACTGTGATGCTGTTTCGTAAAATATTCCGTACTCAAATTGGGGTGAATTTTTTTCACTTGGTCCGGGACTCCTAGTTTAGTTTAACTAAGGTTGGTCAAGGTTACCCGATTGCTGTAATTTTTAACCATTGAAAAATGTGTGGGTGTGACAGGTCAGCTGAAGGCCATACAGATGCTGTGGCTGGATTGGCCATCTCGCCCGATTCACAACTACTGGTGTCTTGCAGTGCAGATGGCAGTATCAGAATGTGGGCATTATCCCCACCGTCTGCACAAGGATTATTTGTGTTAGAGGCAGCTCATGATTTAGGGGCACTTACTGTGGATTTCTCGCCATCAGAGGGTATGCCAGGTAAGCATATTCTAGTTTTTTTATTTTTTTAAATTAGCATTGTCAGAAACTGCTGTTGATACTCAGAATGATTCGTGTGACCAAAATGTTATGCTTTTGCCATTTAACCGTTCGACTATCAAGTTTTGTTTGCATCTTCCGATTATGTAGTGTTGTTATGAAGTTTCTCCATAGGAAATTAAATAGTAGTGTTAACTTTTTTATGATATGTGCTGTAATATTGTTTGGTTTAAAAGAACATTAGCCTGAACTTCTGGTGATTTTAACGTGAATACTATAATACAGGGGTGTCCAACCGCCATTCATTGTTTCCCTCGAAAGGTTATTAGTCAAACGTGAATGTCCCTTGCACCCATCTCGGGCGAAAAGAATTGCATGGTACGCCCTGATACCACGCATGGTTCCATTGCCCACATTTCAGAGTAGCAGGGCAAACCGCTGAGATCAACAATATGGGGAAGACAGGCGTGGATACACAAATGTGATGTAAATATGGCCCGCAACCATATTAAAGATTTTAGTTGTGTCCCTTGAGGCCTTGCACACTACATCCCTATTATAGTAAAATTCTAAGACAGATCCACAACAACACTCTCCCAAACCCCTGCTGTAAATATAACTTCCCAATTACATTATAAAAACAATACCAAGAGTATTAAGGAACCAGAAAAGCAAGCTGTGAAAATAATAAAAGCCAAATGTTGCAATAAGAGTTTTCAGGTAAATAAATAAGAAATAACTATACAAGATATCGAAATTATAAATGAATTAGGAAATAAAAAATGAAGAGATGTAAGTTCAGGTAAACGAATTACCCCTCTCGATAGTCGAAGGTTTAACATTTCATTTTTCTCGTCAGAAATGGGAGGTTTTGTCTAGTGGTAGAAGTAACTGTAAGGATGGAACAATGTGGTGTGTTTCATCTAATTAAATCAATCACAGAAAAATGACTTACTAGTAAAACAATAGGCAACTAAAACATTATTTAGGATCTCCACACAATATTAAGCTCCTCCCAATATTGACCTTTCCTTAGGACAGATTTTGTTCACCTTTTGTGGTAATGACAGTCTTGTTCTACACGTCTCTTTTTCATGGAACCAAACCATGAGTGAATTTAGCGACACATACTACTCTATTTTTGACTCATTCGCCAGGAGCTATACTTCTAGTATTTTTATATGTGATTTGACTAAAAAAACTTTTTAGGGTTTATCTTCTTTTTCTCAAAAGAAAAGAATATACAATTAACAAAACTACCAAATCGAAATGCAATTACATCTCAATTTAAAACAGAATCTTGATAACATATTCAAATTCAAATGAATAAAGAATATATTACTTAAATAAATGGTTAAAATGTATTATCGAAAGCGACCAACTTGCCTCATGCACGGTAATGTAATGAATTTTTTGTGTGCTGGGAAGATAATCTTATTAGCCTCCTCAGCAGTTTGAATTAAACAGATGCTCTCTGAAAAATTAGAGAAGTCTATAAATATATTTAAATATACATTCTCTGAAAAGAAAGAAAAGCAGGGCAAAAAACGCATGAGAAAATACAGAAGTATAGCTTATTTCTTAACTGTACTTTAGTAGCATTTGTAAACTTACCGCAAACTTACATCTCAGTTCTTTCCTTGGTACCTTAGTCAGTAGGAAAAAACATGATCAGTCTCTGCGACACAACTCATTTGTCTTCCTAAGCTGCTCGCTAAGAGATAAGCCATAAAGGCCCACTTATCCCAGGTGGTATGCGTGCCCATTCCAAAACTGCAAAGAGCACACAGAAGGTTCTATTGTTAAGGGTCCCGACAGTTGCAGATTTTCCACACTAGCCAGATAGCTGGGATGAATTCAGCCGGTATCTGGTGGAGAATTCTGAAGTTGGCTGCCCTGATGAGGGTTTTCCTTAGTTTCTCTTCTCAATACCAGACGAATGTCGGAGAAGTATTTTACCAATCATGCGGCTCACACTAGTTTTTTTTCCTTTCTTTTTGTTTTTAGAATTTTTTCAGAATATCCTTCAGAGGACCAGCTAAGAATTGTGCCAAACAATTTGCCTTGTCGAAGTGATTCGAATGACAAAGCATGAGCATTTCTGTAAGAGCCGTAAGTTATTCCAAACAAATGTTAGTTGTAAAAACTGCGCAAAACTTCTCTATGAAGTTTCTTAAAATTGTGTGGATGGATCCGCAAAAAAAACCTCCGTCAGGAAATGTGATCAGATGACACCCCATTTGTCTATTGGTGTATCGGGAATGGTCTAACCGTGAGTGGCAAAAGGTCAGACACAAGTTTCTCGATTACTATAAAAGGATTTAAATATCAAAGATAAAAAGTTAAACAATTTTATAGTCATTGAAAAATAAAGGATTATTATAAAATGCAGAGTCTATTATTTCCCATGAAATTAGTCATTGGAGTTGCTATGTATCTTACTGATGTTGACTTAAAAATGCTATCGATTTCCAATGATGAATTTATTAACAAAAATAATTTAAAATTTCTATACAAAACTTATAATTGAAACTAAATAAGAATTCCTACACTCCATTTTATATATATATATATATATATATATATATATATATATATATATATATATATATATATATATGAGACCTACATTACTTTCTTAAACATCCTTAAGACTTTCCAATCACAAAATTTAATCTAAGTCAATGGAACGATTATTTTGAACATTTTGAAAACGTCCCAGGGGCTTCACGTAAAGTATCCCCCCCCCTTCAAATTCAAGGGGCCGCCACATCAGCCGAATCGATTGGGATTTATCAATTTTGGAGAAAATAGGCTGAAAGGTTTAGCCGCTAGCTTTGTTCACAGACAGACGGCAGGCATACTTTTTCGATTTTTCTGTACCAAGGATCCATAAAACATGGATTCTTGCTACACCACATGTTAGATATTTTTTCCCAAAATTTAGCAACTGGATTTATCCATTTTCTTCGTTAGGACAGGCCTGACGCAAAAATTGTTCTGCCTAAAATTAACCGTTTTTTCGCGCAGCATTATATAACTCTCTTCTTGTGAAGTTTCTTTTTAACCGCGAGAAAGTAAAATTTATTTCTATTAGCGAAATTGCACTCTTTATCGTTTACCTTTACTTTCAAATAACTATCATAAAATCAACATTAAAATAAACTCAGGAATATATAATGTTTTAAAATATTTCCGCAGGCATTCGCCTTGTCAGAAAATTTCATTCTGGAAAATAATTCTGAATTTTGCATAATTGTACTCGCTTCATCTTCTTTCTATTTATCTTATTAAGGTTGTATAATCTGATTTTGCACACATAGATAACCCAGAATGTTATTCTGATGTAACCGGAGTTATTTGCAGAATTTTGTTTATTGGAAAGTCCACAAATGCAAAACAGTTAATTTATTCATTATTCGTCTTTTTTATATAGGCACTCCAATCCTGTCAGTTGATTATTTTTAACCTTGCTCCTTAGAAAATTAAATCAATTATTTGCAAGCTATGATCAATACATGAAGTTCTTTCCACTTGTGTGGTTTTACGATTTTTTATTTGACCAGGAAAATGTTGGAATGGTGTTTGGCGCATATCCATGGAAACATAATTGAAACCTTGATTTGTGGTAGTATTGATCGCGAATGTAATTTTGAATTGTTGAGGAAAATGGGATATGTTTTTCGATTAAGTTTCTGACAGACGTTCAATTCCTTTAGGGCAAGTCAAAATTATATTCCCGATTTCAGAGACTGATTATTTAAGTTGAATGAAACGTACGTCATTAAAGTTACCACGCACGACATGAAAAGCCGAATACGTTTTTTCTTATGTATTGTAAATTCTTTATGTACGATCCACGCGCTACCTTTGCCATCATCAACTCTATACTCAAGCTCCTGTCAAACTCATACTAGCTTATGAGAATCATTTTTGCAAAGGCTGCAGTGATGTGTCCATGCAATTCCGCCAGTGTCATACCAAAATGAAGGTGCAGAAAGGGATCCTTGGTGAATCTTCATTATACAAAAATTAGAAGTGGTGATATTGGGAGATGTGCGACTACTGCTTCGGTGATTAGTCTGGCATTGAGATAGAGACGTTACGGAGCGATTCCAATGATCTTTGAAAATGCCGTGACGCAAGATTGCAAAATAATCCTTAAATTTCAGCGTATCATGTACGTTACACGATTTACTAAATCTTCTGAAATTTAGGGAATAAACAAAGAAACAGTCTTCGGTAAGTTGATAAGTGTCGTGTACATTTAATGTAACATTTTTTTAATGTTGTAATGTACAAGATTGCTTTTCCGGGTAGACCCGTGAATCGATTTTTGGCCCTCTAGCCTTTTTTTCGCCCATTTTTTAATTCCTTTTTTGCTTGATGGTAGTGGCCGGTTCACCTCAATTGAACATCGCTAGTTTTAGCCCCAGTATGATGTTGACGGGAATTTTTCGGTTAAATAAAATAACAATTTACTATCTTGCCAACATTTAGAATTGTATTACATTATCATCAGGGCCGGCGGTACAAAACAATAAGGTGTATCATTAAATTTTTTTTCAATATGGTAATGTATGTTTTGTTTTGGTTGCCGTTAAAAATATGTTTTCACCTTGTTATAGAAAATAGTTTTATTGATGTGTATTGTTATTATGATTGTTGTAATGTTTAATGACACACTTTGTTGTTCTGCTCCATCAATCCAGATGATAAAAGTAATGAACTCGAGAACGTCGACAAGCCACTTAATTATAATTTTATTTCAACGTGTACAGATTGCACTTCTCCCAAAGTACGTCCACAGTTTTTAACTGTTCTTGACGCTAAATATAATTTTTTTAAACGTATAATTCCCGTCAACATCTTACTGGGTGTTTACTGGCGGTCGTGAAGTAGAGTTCGCACGAGATGTCTGTACACTCGACGAACATTGAAAACGCGAGCGTTGGGTCTCGTGCGCACTCTACAACATCCCTTCAGTTTGCCAAGTGCGTAAGAGCGGCGAATCGGTCGCAGGGAAGTGCCGGCTGGACGCGGCCGACGAGGACAAGGAGGCCAGAGGCAAGGGCAAGGACGGCCACTGCTACCTGCTGGCGTCAGGCGGCAACGACGAGGCGGTGCGGCTGTGGCGCGTGCGCGCGCGCTTCGACGGCGGCGTGCTGGCGGTGACGGCGGCCACGCCCTGGCGCCTGCTCGACGGCCCACTGCCGGCGCCTCGGCCCTGTCGTCGGTGCCGTTTGCCGCTTCTGCCCCCCGGCGCCGGCGAGCTGCTCGCGTCCGCCGCCATGGACCGCGCACGCGCCTCTGGAGCGTGGTGAGTGCGCCCGAGACGCGTCGCTTCCAGCTCCGCTGGCCCCGGCCCCCGCCCTCGCCTGCGTAGTTGATACCGACTGAGAAAGCTCAGGGCAACGAACACCTTTTGCCACCGCAGTGTCTCTGACTGGAAGATTCGAGGGTTCGAGTCCCGTGCCGTGGAAAATTATCGAAGTAGCTACTACATACTAGTTGGGTCGAATCTAACCGCCGTCTGGAGGAGGATTCTAGCGGCCGGCTACTCTAATCGGTAGTTTTCTGTGGTCTCTCCGATCAACACCAGGTGAATGTCGGAGCAGTATTCTAACAAACGGGCCACGAACTGCGCTCTATCTTTCCTACCGCTTCCTTGTCCAATCCTTACCCTTTACACACACTTACACGAACATGCACTACACTACCACATATGACGGGATACCAGTCGGGAACTTAGAGCTTGTCCCGGCTGGGTCCGTGCCCCGCTGGTGGGAAATACCTGATTGGGGAAAACCCCGCTAGCCTACGGTAGGTCGCCGCCGGATCACGCCATACGGAGGGGAGACCACCGCCACCTCCCGAGTAAAGAACATACACAACGCTCATGCGACTAATGACCCTGAGCCTCGGGAGCTACCATTCCGCGGGCGGTGTTGACCCCTTCAACTAGGTCGAGTTGAGCTTCTATATTACAAGTTTCATTGGCGAGAAGTCGCCTCAGAGGCCGAGCGACACGTCGCTCCGCGGAAGCGCTCTGGAGCGTGCAACCTCGATACAAGTTTCGGGCTCACGGCGCAGGTCGCCCCGTGCCTCACCGGGAATTTTTGAACGTTATACGTTCATAATAAAAGTGCCTTTACAACCGTATAAGTGTGAAAAATGTATAAACGTAATATACATAACAAATAATTTAGCATGGGAATTATAGAAATGTATCCGGGACCTACCAAAAGAAACCTTATAAACGTGAAAAACGTATAAGTGAGAAACGTATAAACAGAGTTTCACTGTAAGTCCTTGTAAAAATGTTTGCATTTTCATCATCATCTGTTTGAAAATATTTTGTATTGCTGCCTTTAATGAACAGCCATATTTGTGTCTGCCTTAGACATTAATAAAGGGCACAGTTCTTTTTAAGTCTATACTCATGTTTGCATGACATTAGGCTTCCCTATATAATTTTATTTTATTTATTTTCATGGCACAGAGTATAATATGGAATTGAAATTTTACTCAAATTTGTGAAAAAAATATGTACAACTTAATCACAAAAACATTGTATATGTGCACCAAACTTGTAATAAGCTTCTCTATTTCAATATTTTTGGACAATTTATTGTAAGTTTTGTTTATGGTGCATTTGTGGAGTTCAGATCTTTAACATGTATGTACGAACGTATGTACTTAGGCACAACAGCTCTTTTCAAGCTAAGGCATACCAACAGCATCCTGGCCTTGTGGCCATGTGTTAAGGTATACATTAGCACGTAGCCATCCCTATGCTGTATTTCTGGTGTTCTCAACTTGAGAAATTTCTGGTGTTCTCAACATGAGCTTTCTCGTATTCACAGAGCAACAGATACTGGGACCTTGCAAGGACACCGCATAATTAATTTTTTCTCTGGACGGGAATCGATCCCGGTATTGCGCCATGGAAAGCAAGCATGCTAACGAGCCACTGAGAGCTATTCAGATCTTTAACTTATAGCTTAATAATACCCTAAATTTCTACTCAACTGTTTCACCAAAGCATATGTGTTGTCTTGTAGTGTTGTCAATAACATTTTGAATTTCAGCTTTGTTACATTATAATGTTATGCTCTTCTATTATTTACAGTATTCTGGAGAGTGTCTTCATGTCCTGGAAGGCCACACTAGTTTGCTGACATCAGTAGCCTTTTCTCCAGACTGTTCATTGCTAGCAACAGGATCTTTAGATAAAGTTGTGATGGTTTGGCAGTTGCCTGCTCACCTTGTTTTTCAGCTGACAGGCCCTGATGGATCAAAATCTCACACAAAGCGTGTAAGTAACAATAAGACCTGAAGAAAATATTCTCCATTTTTCTATTAATAACATTTTCTAAAGATATGGACAGCTATTTTGAATATGTACCTTTACCCTGTCTGGTGACATCTAGATCACCTATGCATGAAAACTGTGGTATGTCATTGATGGATTCAGATTGATTCCAGTTAAACTGGAGTGATAGAACTGACAAAACATTCTTCCAAACTTCACATTGAAGGAAAAGTCCATATTTTACATTAAGAGGAGGAAATATTGCCATCAGTGTAACACTTGTTCTTTAATAGGAAATTTCGGACCTTTATGATGGCTTTGAAGACACGTCTTCTCTTACTATTCCCACTACTCTTACTGAAACAAACTTTGCTCATATATTCTTCTAGGATTTTTAATATTTATGCATTTCTTTAACAATTTGTCTTGATAATGAATGTTGACATAAAAGGCAAGAACGCAGAAAAAACAAAAATTTGCAAAATTTATATACTACAGTAAAATCTATCTAAACTGGAAACTGTACAATCCAGAAACTTACCTTAAACAGGACAATTTCTCTGGTGAAGGTAAATAGCATTTTACACAGCAAAAAACAGAACCTGTCCAATGTGGAAATGGAACGGTTTTTCATGTGACATGGGGGAAAAAGGCTATAAAACGGATTTCCTATGAATTTAATGCATTTGAAAGTCTATTTTAAATTCTCTGTCCCTGTGACATGCAATTTAGTCATGGGAGCTGTGTAGTGAAGGAGAGGGCCATCAGTTTTCAGCATAATGTCAAACTTGGGGTTGCTTCTCTGTCAAGGCGTAGGCCATAGGGGTAATACATCACTCCCAGCGCTCTGAACGTAGGAAGGTGTATGGGCATGCCTTCTGTTCATGCATCTCCCTGGTCCACGTTGAGAATCATATCCCTGGTAATGTTTTTTTTTCCTGATCGATTCCAGCTTAGACAGATTTTACTGTAGTACAATATCAAAGTAATTGTGAGTGATAATTCCACATGTGAAGGTTTGGTGGTATGACTTCATGTTATGAACCCATCATTGCTGTGTTTTATGTAAGTGATTTGTACAAAAAAGAAATAAATTAAATGAAAAAGGAATAACATGTATCTGAGTAGATTACTCAATGCCTAATCCTTTTGTTTATGTATTTATTAACATCTTCCAAAATTTTCCCTCATTTGGGTCTTGTAACTTACTTGATTCATGTGTATTAATTTTTCATTCGTGTGCTGTCATTTCCTTTCCATGTGAATCAAATGCACTTCTGTGTTTTACATTCTGCAGCATGTACTCTTACTCCCTGTATGTTGTATTATATTGTTTGGTTGTTTTTTTTGTATTGTATTTAATCCGTTGTAGGTATCGTATCTCGTTTGTGAAAATTATTTTTCAATTTATTTTATGAGGTTCCTAAGCTGTAAATGAATTTCTGCGTGCCTAAATTGTGCTTTTATGACAGAGTGGAGTCAAAAGTTACGTTAGTTGTCAATTGAATAGTTGCTATTAAATTTTTAGTGGTTAAATCACTGAGTTAACACTCAAAGTATCCAATACCTATCTCTAAAAATTAAAAAGGCAATATTTAATGCTGAGATTTTCTGAAAGGATGGAAGGATAGAGAAGAGCAGACATTTTTCTCCTCTGACGGAAACATAATAATTTGCAATTGATGCATTGCTTTGACTATCAGATGTAAAAAAGGCATTGTTATTGTCAATTTTCTCTACATTTCATTTTCTCATTGTTTGACTTTTTAACACTTAAACAATTATCTGTTTGTCTTACTTTCTTAATTCACAAGTATTAAAATAATTGATTTATTGAAATACATTTGTAAAATGCTTATATTAAATATCAGAAAAATGAAATATATTTTTACAAATTAGAAGTAAAAATGTGGAATTTCTAAATTGCCCCAACTTATTTACCTTAAATTAATTGAAAGAAAGAGAATGAAAGAAAGAGAATGAGAGAATGAAAGAAAGAGAATGAGAGAATGAAAGAAAGAGAATGAGAAAATGAAAAAAGGAGAGAGAAAGGAGAGAAAATCAGTCAAATGCAACTTCAATCATCAGATGGACTATTCAAGTTGAAGGTATAGATGTATATATAAATTAAAGGTTATACATCAACCCTTTCATGACCAAATGGAGAAATGAAACAATACATTTTAGTGTATTTTATTTGTATATTTAAACTTCATGATATTAAGATTGGTATGTCTAATTTTTCTTAAAACTATTCAAATTTAGAAATTATAAAAAAAGTTAAATTCCTCTTCATTAAACAATTCTGGATATCTATAGCTAATCCACGGTTTCTGAGAAAATTGTAAGATTAAATGAAACCTAGAAGATAATTGAATTTTTTCTTTCATAAAATAATTCTGAATTGTTTTTCATAGTGTGTAGAATTTCAATATTTGATCTAAAATTAATTTTGTAAAGAAGACTTAAGGAGTTTGCATTGGGTGCAGGTTGTAGATTGGAGCCCTGAAGATGTTGATCAATGGTTACGTGAGTGGGGAATGCCTCGCCTTGGAGGACGGGCTCGAGTTGCACGTGTATATGGAGTTGAATTAATCACATGTCCTGTGCAAGATGTTTTAACAAAACTTCAAGGTGAGTATCTTCAGTTATTTTCAAAACAGATTTTGCAATAAATACAATAAAGGTATACAGACATAATTTATAATAGCTCCTGCAAGTCATAGAATCGTGGCCTTAAAATGCCAATACTTCCCTTGCTATCTGACACAATTATTTTCACCTTTTGTCATTTTAAATAGCAAAAGAGTGGTATTCTTCACAAAGTTTGCAGCACTTGCTACGAATCTAAATGAATATCACACACATATATAAGCGTAGCACTTGCAATATTATCTTATCTGCCTGAGTGATATCCACCCATATCTTATCTTGAACATTCAATAGTACTTCACTGCCTTGTCTTTTAATTTTATTTTTCACGAACAAGCTTATTCTCTTTTGTAGTAATGGAAGATGTAATCCAGTAATTTTTATGCCAAACAATCATGTATAATAGTATATGTGTATTTTATAAGTATAATTGTGTGTAATTCATAATTCAATGTGTTTTAAAGTGACTGACTGTAGCCATTGTCAGATATAACTAACTTATCTCCATCAAAATCATCAATCATTAATACTTAAAGTTGTATGGAGTGTTCCTTTTGAATTAGTGTTTTCCTATGTCACTAAGATGTTCGTGATCTTGCCATTGTTTAGACCTTCCACCTTCCCTGCCACCCTTCATTCTGTTTTACATGTCTGTTTGTCTTTATGTCTATAGGTTAGGATTTCTAATTTTATCTCTTCCAGTAACTTTTAATATTTGTCTAAAATATCTCATTTGGGCTGCGTACAATATTTGGCTCCTTACTAGCACTCATACCTCACTGCCATAGCATTGTTAGTTTAGATTCCATTTTGTTTAATGTAATGTTTGTTTCTGTGGTCATGTTTTTAAATGTCTTGTGATGGAGCCATTCATTTTGTTTGCTCCTAGCCACTTTCATTTTAAAATCTTCATTTTGTTGATCCAGGTTGTTACTGAAGTACATGAAACTTATTACCTGTTTTATAATTTTATCATCAATCACAATTTTCATTCACTGATGTTATTTTCATTGCATTCACATTAATATTGTTTTGGCTATTGATTTTCTCATTCCTTATTCCTCTGCAATCTGAAAGTTGCTCTTTCTAATTCATCTTGTTTTCCCAAGATGTGTTTGAATTTAGAATTGCTTTATAATGCTTTTAGAGGTGGTCTGAAAAATTTTGAAAGAGCTCCATAGCCCTATGTAATGAAACATTTTTTCCATAAATATTTTCAATTCCTTATTTTCCCTTTTTTATGGTAATAATTCAGAGAATTGATACACATAAGTTGGGAAAGAGTCTATTTAAACCATCTGACAACTTTAAAATCAAAAATTGTTTTAATAAATTGCATCATTTAAGTTACAATTTCTTTCTCCTTGCAATATGTTATGTTTATTTTGTAGTCAAATACATCTTATGGAAATAAAGTTTAATGGAAAAGGGGGCCAGAGGAGCCCAGAAACATAGTTACCCCACACTCTCTTGATTTAGACTGCTCATGCTTATATTTCTTTTTCTCTTTTATTAAGTTGTTTATTTTTAGGTTCTTATTTATTTTTGGTTTTTATTTGTGTTTATATTCTGTTACTATCTACATGTTCTATATAGGAATGGTAAAAGCAAATCATTGTTTGTACTGCAGTACTGCTTTTCAATTCATCAGCTATTGTTGGGATGGTTTTATTTGAGAGTTAACCATTTCCATTCTTGCATTTGTTTTTTACCATTTTTACTTTCTCATCTAACTACATACTTACATAGTAAAGAGAAAGTACTGTAATACAGTGGCAATTATTGACAATATTTTTGGAAAGTAAAACTTGTATTGTAAGGTCCTGGTATCAAAAAAGTGGATAAATCTTGTTCCTAATTATGGTAATTTACTGCCTCTCACTGCTATTATTGATAAAACAAATAATAATGACCATCTCATCGTGTGTGGCAACTTAAGTGCGAGAGTAGGTAAGACACTGATACCTGGAATACTTGGGTCATTTGGGGAAAATAAACTAAGCAATAATGGAAATGAACTTTTACAATTTGCCAGCACAAACAATTTAAAGATCTCCAATACTTTATTCAGAAAAAGAGATGTAAATAAATATACTTGGTGTGCATAAGGATACAAGACAATAATTAATTATTTTTCTAATAAATGAAAAATTGAAATTACAAATAAAAGATGTGCAAGTTTATCGGGGATGTTATATAGGTTCTGATCACTACATATTAATTAGCTAATTCAATCTCTGGACAAGATAGAGGCCTACGAGACATCCAAACAGTATTTCAGAAGAAGTAAACAAAGTGCATCTTCTGCAAGAAGAGAGTATGAAAATGCTGTACCAAACTAGATTGCAGAAACACTTATTAGAAACATCAAATGAGAACGATATAGAGAAAAAATGGAGTAATGTGCAAAACTGCATTGAAAATGCGGCAAGAGAAGCTATGGGAAGAAAGAAGAAAGTAAGGAGTAAAAAGGGTCTGAAAATTTGGAAAAGTGAGATTGAAAACATAGTAAGAAACAAACAAACAAATTGCCTATCTTCAGCACCTTCAACAAAATACCAAGGAGAGTGAAGAAAGATACAAAGAAAAATGTAATTTAGCAAAAAAAGGTATTCGACCAGCCCAACAACAAGCACGGGATACATTTACTAGCCAAATAGAAAATGACATGCATGGAAGACAACGTTTTGCTTATAAGATTCTCAAACATCTGAACAAAGAAGAAAAAGATACAGTGAGAATAGATGTAATTGATAAGACAGACTGGATACTGTAGAAACATATGGTATAAAAAAACCACAAGAAGAAATATGTGAAGCACTATACAGTGAAGTCAATCCCATACCAAGAAATGAGATCCAAGAGGCTTTGAAAGAACTTAAAAATAAGAAAGCAACAGGAACAGACAACTTAATGGAAGAACTATTAAAATATGGTGGGGTGATGCTCCACTGGCAACGGCAACACATTGTGAATTATTGTAGGCAAACTAGTAAAACACCATAATCATGGAAAACTGCTAAAGTAATTTTCGTATTCAAGAAAGGTATCGCAAAGATTGTAATAATTGCAGAGGAATCTGCATTTAAAATTCAGTATATAAATTGTTTGCTAGAATATTAAATAAAAAGCTAAAATGTATCTCAGAAACTCTCATTGATGAAGAACAAAATGGTTTCAGAGATCGACTACAGACAATACATTCATACTATAACAAATAATAGAAAAAAGAAAGGAATTCAATCAACAGACACGCACAGCTTTCATAGATTTTGTAAAAGCCTTCAATAATGTAAATATAGTGAAACTCTAATGGAAAATAATGGTCTATAATGGAAAATAAAGGCTATCCTCAAAAGTTAGTAGAAGCAATAAAGAGTGTGTATAAAAACTTTAATATTGTAATAAAAATAGAAATATATGAAACCAATAAAATATTGATAAACAGAGGAGTGCAACAAGAATGCCTAGTCTCACCGACACTTTTTAATATTTATATTGATGACCTTATCCAAAATTGGAAGCAAATAATTTACAATGGTATTAAGATATCGCAAGAAAATATTTTACTCTATGCAGATGATACTTTAATATTCCAGAAAACAGAAGATGATTTACAGTATGCATTATTCCACTTAAATTATTTATGTTAAAAAATACGATGTTGAAATATCGAAAGAAGAAACAAAGGTGATTGCATTTTGGGAAAAACATCTAATACGATCAAAAATTATTTTGGATAAAATAATTGGGGCAAAAAGTACTTAGGTTGAAATAATTTAGACAAAAGTTATTCAGGATAAAATAATTTTAGACCAAGTTTCCAGTTTCAGCTATTTAGATTGTCAAGTCGATCAAGATACCAATAAAGACATTAACATTAAATTAGCAAGGTTCCAAAGAATTTGTGGTACTATACATAATACATTAAAAAATAAGACAAGATACAAGAATAAAGTTTTATAAAATTATTGCTCTTCACGTTCTTCTGTTCAGCAGCGAGAGTGGGGTACCAACAACAAGAAAATTAAGTAGAATACAGGCCGCTGAAATGAAGTTTTTGAGGAGAAAGCTAGGCTGCATGGAAGATCATATTCATAACAAGAAGATTTGGCAAAAACCACATGCCAAAGGAATTGGGAGCAAAATTACTAAATACCGAAACAACTGGTATCAACGTACGCAAAAGATGAATAATACAAGACTACCTAAATTAGCTTTACTCTATCTACCACATGGAAGAAGAGACGTGGGCAAACAAAAAAAATGATGGAAGGAAAACTTGTGAAGATGAAACAGGCTCAAGCTTCGTCTATGAAGTGCAGAAGAAGAAGACTGCCTCTAACACATTGTGTGGTCGGAATCCATGTTTTGTGGGTACTTCATATCAACAAATTCATTGATGGTAAAACTCCTACCTGCCTTCCTGCCCATACACCCAAGTTTGAAACAGATATTTTGATTTTCAGGGGTCCTTTACATGAAGCTTCAACAATATATTGCAAATTTTCCTAAAATAGGCCCCAAATTCTTTTCTTAAGCTTTCTCCTTAAAAATGCTGTGTGGGGGGATTGAAAATTGCAAAAGTGACAAATAATGTGAGAAAGTAGTTGCTATTGTAACACCAATTTCAAACATATTTCAAATTTGCCAACTTACCAACCACTTTCAGATTATGAGTAGTTTTTGCATTGCAAACACGTGGTTTTTATTGTCCAGAATTTTGTTGCTTATTTGCGAATGAAACGATCTTTAATTCTTGGTTCTTCTATTAGCTGGATTTTAAATTGTTTCATTTTTATGATTCAATCGATTTGATTTTGATCAATGATCACAAATCATTGGTACAATCTGACAACTCATCTTATCTTGTTGGAGATTATGCTTTTATGAAATGAAGTTGGTCATGAATAATTGTGCTCTTTGCTCATAAAGGAATTTATGGAATGCAAGGAATTTATCTTAAATGAATATTCATAAATGTAGAGAATTATTAGTAGAATCCAGTAGGGTACTTATTTTCAGGAAAAAGTTCACTTATCAGGTTATTCATTTCGATTAAAGACATATTCTTGTTTCTTTCATTCTGTCTTTGATCTTTTTTAATTATTACATAATTTATGATTTAGTTCCCACCCTTCCCATGTAAACTTGACATTTAACGTATTATACACCTTGCTTAAGCACTAAGACATTTAACGTATTATAACCTAAAACTATGAAGTCTTTTTCAAAAAATTATTAGTGAAATTAGTAATAATTGACATTGAACTTTTGTGGAAAATACATTCAAACAAATGTGTTTCTGAACTTGCAGCATCACTATTGATGATACTGATAAAAAAAGTTTTAATGCTTAATAATAGAAAATTTTCATTGTTATACAACTATAATCAGTAGTAAACTTATTACTACAATTTTCTTGAACATTTTATTAAATAGTTGTACTAATAATGCTAACTATTGAATTTTGATATGTATATTTCAGTTTTTACACAGTTGAAACTGTTGTAGATTTTGTTTTGCAATGAATTAATTGAGGTTGATATGTAATTTATTACTGTTCTAAAAATAAAACAGTGGTAATATACTATATGTTTTCAGTTGGTGCTATTTTGAATTAAATTTCTATTGTAGTTTTTATAAAATGGGTTGCAGATTATTATTGTCATATAACAGCAAAACAAATAATACTAAAAAGTATTTTAGGATTATACCTGTTTATAAATGTGTGTTGAAAGAAGAAATTACTACAAAGAGCACCATTTTTCCTTCAGTACTCATAACTGTATTTTAATGTTATTTAGCTGATCCAACAGGCCAAGATCAATAAGGCCGTAGTGCCATAGCGATCTCGGGCCGAAGAATCTCTATTTCCTGTTTGGCATCGGGCAGGGTTGTATTTGTGTTCATCCTTTCACCCCTCATAATCACCCTATCCCTTCATTGAGTATGAGAAATTCCTGCAAAATGGCAGGAGGTCTTTGCCCTTAATGGGATCTTAGTTTGCTAATAAAAAAAAATTATTGAACAGATCATCCTATATCTATTTCACAAATATTTCAGAAAATGTGTTCCTTTTGTTTTTGCACTCTCCACTGTTATGCTCCTTGATATTTTTAAATGATTGGCACACCTATCTGTCCTCAAATTATCATTTTTTTTTTTCTATGCAAGGGAACAAATGAGATTGAATCCTCCTTGTGTTAAATTACATTTAATTCCCAATTCATATATTATCAGTGAAGACTGATTCTTTCTCTCTCCATTTATTTAGTGCTCTTTAGTATTTTGAATATAATTTATATCAGCTTAGATGGTTTTCATGTATTTTATGAAAAGGGAAGTCTTCTTTTAACTCACAAAGAGTGTTTCAGCTCAAGAATAGTGAAGATTCAGTGAATGACTGTAATTACTTGGCTATCTGGAGTACAGGAGCCAACATTACAACTGCCATTCTGTGACCTTCCTCAGGGCAAAATTCAATGTACAGTGTCAAATTTTTGTTGTCTTTAAAATAGCCTTTGCAATTCAGAGAGCACTCATTAATTACATTTATTCTTAAGAGAAATCCAACAACTTTCATTCGTAATATTCCATTTTAAATACAGCCTAGTCAAGTCACACCTTTTCTTCTTAAATTTTTTTTCTGCCTGATATTCACTCAAATGTGTTACGAAATCATTTTTTTCATTTAATTGAGTAATCATTTAATTTTGATTGGACTGAATATCTTTGATATTCAAGAGAAACTTGAGCCTGAAAACTGTATTTCAATGTAAATAAAGTTGAAATCAATTCTGATATATTTGTATACTCAATATCTTTTGCAAGATGGGAGATAAAAACCAGTTTCCTTCCCTCACACTTTGACATGTAATACTGCTTTTAAGAAACAAAAATAATCAGGTTCAGAGATGGATTTTTTCTGTACATTTTCTCAGTTCTGTGACAATTAAAGAATGAAATAATTGATAAATTAGTAAACCCAGACTCCAGTACTTTAGCAATTTCACTAATTAAAAGAATAGAATAAATATGACTTAATATTATAAAGAAATAAAAACATCAAAATGGACAAGTGATTTTCACATGTGTACTTAAAGTATATAATATCCTTGTCATTGAACCTTCAGGATGTGAAGCTGGAGAGGCATCTGTTGAGGATGTGGATGTAGCTGCAGCTGTTGATGGTGCTGAAAATGAGGATGAAATTGTATTGGAAGAACATATTGTGCAGTTGATACATTGGTTGAAGCATGCTGAAGCTACAGGATCTTTTAGTGATGCTTTACCTGATGAAGAGCCACCTCCTGAATTTCTGTGTCCTATCACACATGAAGTGATGCGAGACCCAGTCATTTGTTCCGGTGAGTTAACAGAAGTGTCATAGTGTGTGTCTTCAGTTGTTGAATAAGAGAATGGAGAAGTGCTTATTCCTTCAAAGTACAAATGTTCATTGTCTCAAATTTACTTAAAACAGGGTAAACAGGGCACATATCTTGCAATTGAGAAAATATTACATAGAATTGAGAGAGAAATTTTCTCTTCCTTTGTTGTCAAAGTTATAACCATCACTCAACGAGACCGTTCAGATCTAGATTTTAGTTAGTTGTGTAAAATGAAAAGATGTCCTTTTTTTAACTCCTTTCCAGCATTTTACTTTGGATGTAGCAAGTATATTAACATGGGTTTAATGTTTGTGTAGATGGATTTACATATGAACGAGCTGCATTATCAGAGTGGTTGCTGGGTAGACGATTCTCATCACCGATGACAAATGTTCCTCTATCATCATCACGCCTGCTGCCCAACGTAGCTCTACGGAGACGCATTCTTGAATGGATGTTTGGTGAAGTTCCACCCCTGGAAGATGAATTTGCTATTGTGCAACCATCTGCACCTGGAGAATCTCCCAATGAAGATCCAGTGGAAGTTGAAGAAGGGAAAGAGGCAGATAGCTGAGAATTAACACCGGAGGCAGGCGAAGAGGCTTGGGAGCCTCTAGCTGCTGACAGTGAGGCTTTGATGCCTGCTGAGCCTGTACCTCCCTCCTCAAAAGCATGCTGCATTCTATAAAGAAGATACAAGATAGCAGATGTGTAATGTGCACTATGACCTTACATTCTCTTATTTGGTTGTTACCATCAGTAATTCAAGAACAGATGCATATGTGTGGGATGTGCACTACAACTTTTCAATTTCCTATTCTGACTTCTCCTTATATGACTATACTAAAAACGTGATTTTTTTAAGGTGTGCTATTTGGTCAAGTTTTGGTTGATGTGAAATAATTTAGTTGCTTTTGGTTGAAACTGAAATAATTTCATATGATAATTGTCATTTTGGATGTGAAACATTGTTTCTCATGATCTCAGCTATTGTAGTCTGTGAGAAAGCTTGGGGGATGGGTTTTGGGAACCCGTTTGATAGATGAATGTCATCATTACAGGAAAGGAATGAGAATTAAATCAATTGTTAGAGCTTGTCTATTATTTACATAACGCTAAAACAAGATGCCGGCAGCATTATGTTGTGTTACTTGGGGGGTAAGGGGTGTTAGTTTAGTGTTATGTATCATAGATTTTTTTTCATTTTTAAACATTTTCTGAAACAATTACTTTATTCTGTATTGTACCAAGACATTAAATTATCAACTAACTACTTATGGCATTACTTAAGTGCATGGCTTGTGATCAGAAATTTGCAAATCTGAGCATCCTTCCTCTACACATTTGTTTTCAATCTTATTGTTAAGGGTAGTCAACATCACCAATTAATTCAGAGTTTAGTTATCATAAATTTGAAAATATAACACAAATAAACTCAATACAATTAGTTTGTACTGAGGTATAATTTATTTTTACTTGTAATGAGGGGAGGAGATGTTGACGCAAGCATTGCGTAATTATTCAGGAAGGGTTGAAGCGCATGTAACAGGTGTGTTATAGAGAAAAGAAAGGGTTTTCAAAATAGTCCAAATTTGCAATACAAAATTTATGGATGGCTCCTTACTGGATATGTTAGAAACAATGTTTAGCATTTATAATAATGTCATGAAGAATGACTGACAATTAGAGATTTTTTAACAAAAAGTGTTGCGTGTACTTCATCAGGCATGCAAAAAGGTGTGTTGCAAATGATTAATTATAATATAATTTACCATTAATTCTAATTTTTCCTTGTCATATTACATACTACTTCAGTCCAATCTTACTTCTTTAGTTACTCATATTGAAAGCAGTGTAACATTTTGGGAGTGTTACATTCCCAACAAATATTTCACTTTTTTTTCAGTACCTACTTGCACTTTACATCTTGATTTTTAGGAGTTCATAGTGAAAATGAAAATTCTAATTTATCTATATACTTTTTTTACTACTCACAGTTCTTTTGGTATGTGATGTATTTTAATTACCTTCATTCTTTCTTATCTAAGGACATCCTGCACTTCTATCTTTCATTAATCTGTGTTGGTTTTCTTTTAAAATCTGTATATTACATTATTTATTTATTTACCAAATTTACTCAAATAGAAGATACCTCAAATATAAAATGACTGTTGATTTTTAACTTTAAATTAGTTGTTGACAATTAACCAAAAGACAAGAGGACACACATTTTTGTAACTAGAAATTATTTTCCAACAAATGAAATGGTGAAGGGGAAGTGTATCTAAATTATTTATTATGTACACGTCAGTAGTATTTATATACTCTACATGAATTAAACTTCCAGTAAATATCATGGATTTTGAACTATAATCATGTTTATTATTTTTGTGGCATAGTTCTCTTTTACATCTAACACACCTATCAAATTTACACTACTGAGTTGTCAATAAAAAGTGAACTTTGTGGAGAGGTAATTAATTGCACTTTAACTTAGTAAATATTAAGGTTTTGTTGAAAATGCACATCAAAGTAGGTTGGTGCAAATGCAATTTGCAACCAAAGACCTGATTAATTATTTGTTTCTTGGGATGATGATCAAGCATAACTCAAAAATGGAGCATTTAAGGGCCTTAAATCCGGGTGTCTCAAGGCCATAGGCCTTGAGTTAGGTTCCTCACACCATAAACTCTTAAATACATCTTTTGGAGGGTTACATTTTCTTCTTAATTACATTTTGGGGGTTTCAGCTCTTCAGAGACATGCAAAATCACAAATGTTATTAGTGCAAAAATAAGACTACTTCACATTGTTTAAAGATGAAAAATGGAAAAAATTATATTCATCTTATATTTGGCTTAGTATGGTAATTGTTTCTAAAACAGTTAAGCTTATATGTGATTTTTGGGAAGGGAGAGGTTTATTTTTTTATAGGCTGTTTCATACTCTTATTGCTGCTGGCCATGAACATATGAGTGAATTCCTTTGTCATATTTTCTTGTTAATACACATTAATTAATGATATTAGTTTCTTTATGGAATATGTCATAGAAACATTTTTTGAAAGAAATAATAAAAAATATGTTATCATTTTCAGTAGAATTGTGTTTAAATGCTAGGGGAGGAATTTGAAATTTTCTATGCATTATTATTACAATGTACAAACATTTACTAGATATGAATTTCTTTTAAATAAATTCTTTAAACTAAGATTGCCACTCTAACTTTCTGTGATATTGAACTCCACAAATCATGACTTGCTCATATATTTCTCGGAGACTTTGACTGAATTCAAAACCAAAGATGGTACTCTTTGCTTAAATTTTAATACAATTTAAATCAATATGCCATCAAGATGGCCTATGAGTGAGAATTACTATCTTGTTTGTATGGAAATTTACAAAGTATTTGTCTGGTATGTTTTTGCAGATTATGTAAACTAATTTTATTTAGGCAAGTGCTTTTCTTCTTAGGAAGTTTTAACCAATTTCAAATATCAATTTTTTCAAGTAAATACAAAGTTGAATTACTGCTGTAGTGGAGATTTATAAGTTATATTTGCAATACTATGATTGGTGTATGTGTATATTAAGTACCTGCTGTCTACAAGCATTGATGATGAAACACATTATTCACAACAATCAACAACATTGAAACTGCAAAGAGAATTGAATTGATGCAAGGATTCCATGACATGGGTTAATATTTTTATATATTCATAAGCAGTTTGTATATGCTGTTGAGCCACAGGTCGAATTATAATGAATTCCAAGCTTTTAGATACTAAATGGCAAGTAGGGTATGAAGTGAGGGTTAGTGTTCATAAATATTTTAATAGTTCTGTTGGTGGAGTACACATTTAAATTCATATTACTGAAAGAATGTGATTAATTGCTAATAAAAAATTGTAATGTTCAGTTAGTTTCAAACATATAGAAACTTTACTATAATACTATAATTAATTTTGCACTAAATAAAGTGTTTTATAATATATTCTCAGGTTCTTAAGGAATTGTCGAAAAAGACGGTATCATTCCAGTCCTCTTGGTACTTAGCTCTATTACTATTGGATTGATAGTAGCATTTTCATTGAAAATGCTCTTGTATCTTATCTTGTAATGTTAGTAGATAATTAAACGACCAAGAGGATCAAGGTCTTATTCACAGATACATTATTTTTTTTTTTATCCATTATTTTAATCTAATTGTTTTAGATTTGATATTGGACTTAAAGCAAGGGTGATATTAAAATATTTATTTGTGGATATCAGCTTTTACTATTTCAGCAAAAGCAATTGGACTTGAGATAGTTTGTGTGACTTGCACATCATAAGCACAATCAAAAATAAAAATTGAAATAAATTTTTGCAATTTTTATTTTAACACCATCTGTGTTTATAAAGACCACTTAATTATTGAATTTGTGTACATATATATTATATTATATATATATATATATATAATATATATATTATATATATATATATATAATATATATATATAATTGTAAGGATAATATATATTACAGTTACATTTTGTAAAAATATACATAATTAATTGTCCTTGCGTGTGATAGAGAATTGGTATATACGGATGGATATATATAAATGTATACATATAAATATGTTAATGGAGTAGTTCCAAATCAGTTGATAGCTCCATGTCTCTAACCCATGTAGTTCAAAATTGTATTTTAATATAAGTACATCTTTTAATTGTGAACTCTGTTAAGTGTTGCATGATATCATGAGATTTGGAACTGAAAACATCATTTGAAAGGGGCTGTGAGTATAAGATAGTAATGTTTATGCCTTTGATCAAAGATACTTTCTGTCACCTTAAAGACATGTCTATGATGTGTGTCTCTGACCAGAGTCATAAATAATAACTTGTGTTATAGAGTTAGTACATGTAAATGGATAATTGAAAGATGATATTGTAAGCCTAAGTTGCCCTACACAAGTACATGGTATCGTAAGCTTGTCTAATTTATTTTAATTTTCTTTGTGATGTGCGGTATATTTCTGAATGTAATTTATAATGTAGTATTAAAGGCATCGAAAACTTATTTGTTTAATTATGTGGAATGCATTCTGTATGTCATTTTTGATTAAATATGTTTGTTTCACGGCAGTAATGTTATTCAATTATCTAATTTCTGGATCCCTCTGTTTTTTGTCTTTTTTCAACAGCTGTCAAAATTATGATTACTATTGTTAAGAAATAGAAATAAAATTTATATTTGGTGCAATGGTAAAAAAACTAAAGGAAACAAAATTCACAAATATCTATCAACGTAATTTTACATTATCTTGTCAGATGCAAGGTGGAAATTATGCTACATATTTCTAGATAAGCAGTCAATATGCTTTCGTATCTCTATTTCCATTCATTTTCTTTTCTAGGTAAAATTTTATTAATTAAGAAAATATTTATTGGCTAAATTGAATTTTGATTACTGGAAAATTTTTCAGGTCCTCTTGGAATTAGAACCCAAAGACTTTATTCTCATTTCAATTTTACATTTTTCTATATTTTTAATTTTTTTCAGCAATAACAAATATTTCTAAGTTAGAATAGAATCTTCAAAATGGGTAGAAAATCGCTACAACTTATGAAAAGATGTTTTCAAACCCCAAATAAACAGCACAGGATACTCTTTATAATTGTTAAATACTTCACAATAGATCTACTTCTTGCAATTCTTCAAAATATTTTTCGTTATGGTGACCTGAAATCAGTGGTCCCAGATTCATATACGTAAACACAAGTGCACTGAAGATTCGTTGATCAACGAAGATTGTAGTAAACATTGCAAATACAACTTTCAGGGGGAAAATAACCCAGTTCCGTGAATTCATAAATCACTACGACCTCAAGGTAATGGCTCTTGTGAGCTACTGCGTACTTAATAAGAAGCTTTCTTCGTAAGAAGAGTAAGTATTGTGACCGTGCGCCGGAAACCGGCGATTTTTAAACAGAAGAGCTTACTGCCGCGCCCTGGTATCGAAACAGTGGATAAATCATGTTGCTATGTAAATGTTTGCAGTTTTGAAGACAGAATCCAAGATTTGTGCTCACTTGATACCGAAAAATCGATTTTCGACAAACGACTATCCGTCCGTCCGTGGTTAACGCTAGGACCTAAACCGTTCAGCCGATTTTCTCGAAAATTGTATTCCCCATTCGATTTATTGGAACTCGAGGCCTTCAGAGTTTGAAATAGATTTTTTAAAGATACTTTATATGAAGCTTCAACATTTTCATATTTTTCTCAAAAATACGCTCCAAATTTTGGGATAAACTTTGTCCTCGGATAGCGTAAAGGACTGGTAAGAGAATTGCGCAGGTCTCAATTTCGATAAAATTCCTTTTTTTTAAAAAGTTGTATAAGTTCAAAATTTTATTCGACGTCTTCCTTCAGCTACAATATTGAAGATAGAGTTTTTTTTTCGTAATGAACTTTGTCCTTTAAAGACAAATCTTCTAAAAGGTCAAATTTGTACATGTTCTTTTTCGGGAATATATAATCAGTTTTCGGGTACTTTTGCGTGAATTATAGGCACTGTTTAAATGTTTTTTAAAAAAAACAGATCCATTTTTTCTGTATTTTTTTCTCTTCGCATGTATCAAAGGGCGGTATAAAAATTGTTGCTAGTCCTATTACGAATCTTACGAATAGTCAATAAACTAAAAAAATAAATATTCACCTGGTTTAGGTGAATTTCCGGATTGTTTATTGAAAAATTGTGTACCTGCCTTTATGCACCCGTGTGGCGTCATATCAGTCGCCTTGTACAAACGTGACAAAATATCAGCCACGTGCATTTCATTCTCATGGACAGCGCTGTCGGGAAGAGACGCCGGGCTGAACAATGGCAAACCTAGGGAGCGGAAGGGAAGGGGTGCCGTGTCCTGGGTGGCCACTTGTGAACACCGTAGACATGCTGGCTGTGGAAACGCGTCGGCGGAAACAGCGAGATGACGCAGTTCCGTCAGCCGGCCCAGAAAGTAAAATAAACGGACCCCGGACCTAAACTCCTTCTGATTCTTGGGCGCATCGGTAGGAAGTCGTGTGGGTTGTGTGCGGCGCTGCATTTCAATGCATAGGCTATTGAGGAAGGGAACTGAAGCCATCGTGCTACGGCGAGGCGGGAGGTGCGGCATACTCGCTTGTATGCTCACGTAGGCAACTGGTGCATCACACCGAATAAGATATCTAATTATCAGGCCAGCGATGGCGGTAACCAGAAACATTCCTTCTAGTAACGGGTCAATATTGTTTATTGTAATTATTGTACGAGTACATAGTATTCAGGTGGTGGAGCATATTTTTTTTTTTTTTTCAAATAAATACTCAATAAATTATAAACCGTTCACGTCTGTGATTTATTGCCCTGGCAAAGACGCACACCCGTTAACTCACATTTTCAATGCTTCTTTATGCACAGGAATATTTCCAGATATTTTCAAAACAGCAAAAATAAGTCACTTTTTAAAAAAGGGAGCAACAATGAAATTCAAAATGACCGACCAATTTCCCCTTTGGCAGGTTTCTCCAAAATATTAGAGAGGCTTTTCTATACGTGAATGGAAACTTGTCTCAGGAAAAACGAAGCGTTTTCGGAATCATAACACGGGTTTAGAATATCAAAATCTACGGAAACTGCCATTTTTCCCCTTAAAGATATTGCTTCCTCAATGGACATCTAATGAAGCACCCATTGGAATATTTTGAGATCTTACGAAAGCTTTTAACGTTATTGACTATAACATCTTGCTATCAAAATTACCTATTTATGTAATTCGTGGTATCGCTCTTGATTGGATAACCTGGTACCTTAAACATCGACCTCAAAGAGTAGAAATACCGTACTGGAACGAAAGGACATTATTTACTTATCTTTCCAATTCTTTACCAATTGAATATGGGGTCCCGCAAGGCTCGATCTTAGGTCCTACCCTCTTTCTGTTATTCATAAACGATAAACCCTCGTCTATTGAGAACGGTTCTGTTTGCCGATGACACGAATATCCTTTGCAAAAAAGAAACAATAAATAGTGCGATTTTAGAAGTTTCAAATTGGTTTTGTAATAACAAATTAATAGTTAATGAAGGAAAAAAGTTTCAATGCATTTTTGTATTTCAAATCAGCAATCGTATGCTCCACTGAAAATGAATAATATTTCAATTAGCTGATGCTCAGGTTAAAAAAGGTCTAGGTCTGTCAATTCATTCAAACTTCAAATGGAATGCACATATAACAAAATTAAACACTAAATTAAGTTCATTATGTTACGCATTCAGAATTCTTTCAAATTCTGTCAGCTTTCTTGCAGCTCGTTGCGTGTATTTTACAAATGTACTGTGGCGTCGTTAACACGAGGGCCAGAACCGTTATGTCGGTGAAAGTGCGCTGCGGGGTAGGAAGGGGTTGAGCCTGAACTTCCGGGATTTTGCGCTCTGGCAGTTGAAGCAGGTAGCTGCAGAGCCAAAAATAACCTTAGGCTGTAAACTCCTAGGATGCTAGCCAGCGAGCCCTCGCTTACCGACGGCAGGCGAGCCAACCTGGGAATCTTGTGTGTGGGGGCGTAGCCCCCTCCTAAGATGCTAGCCAGCGAGCCCTCGCTTGCCGACAGCAAGTGAGCCTATCTAGGGAACTTGTGTGGTGGGGGGTGTAGCCCTCAACTATTTAACGCGGCGCCATCTGCGCCCGCGCTCTCATTCAGTTTACATCGGAGAGCGTTGTACGAGTTGGTACAAGGAGTGTAGGAGTGTGGGCGAGATGTCCGGAGTGTAAGGGTCAGACGATCTCGGGTGCTTTCTGCACGCGGTCCGCCAGACGGCGACCGGTTTAAATTTTGGCATCAGGCCATGTGACGGTAATTGTCACGGGACGGAAGTCCGACAGCTCGCATCACGCGTGGCTTTTATTTTTCTGCGGTAAAGCATGGTACAGGAAGGAAAAGGTTTCCGGAGTGTTTAAATTTAGAAATTTATTGTAACTAGTCTGTAACTTTTCAATATACTATTTTTATTTTATTATTTGAATTTATTTCTCATTTCACTACGTCACAGTACATTCCCGTCTGAGATATGGTACAAAATTCTGGGGAAACTCATCATGTACTCAGAACTTTAGATTGCAAAAGAACATTATTCGAGTAATGAAAATATGCCATCCGCGTTATCCTTGCAAGCCTCTCTTCATTGAGCTTAGAATCTTACCACTGCCTTGCCTATATATTTACGAATCTGTAATATTTGTCAAACTTAACGGTGGGAACACGTTTTCATGCAATACTGATATTTAAAATTACAACACACGTCGTAAAAATTAAGTTCATCAAGTGTCAGTATCAACAGCTCACTATCCAGATATCCAGAAATCCACGTACAATACATGTTCGTTACTTTACAACGCACTCCAGGATGACATTAAACAATTCAAGTCGGTTCACAAATTTAAGTTAAAAGTAAAATCTCTTCTGCTGCAAAACTGTCTCTATAAAAATAGATACTATACTGGTTATCAAAAAGAAAAAGAATGTTTATTTTAACAAAACAGTGATATATTTTGAATTAGTTTACATTACACTGCATACAGTTCTTCTTAAAAAGAATTAATATGTTTGTAACAAATAATGTACGTTAGCTTCCGGGTCAATGTCCCCATCTCGATCAGGTTTTTGTCCAGTTTCCCTGATCCATTGAGCAAATGCTGAGATGGCCCCTGTTTTGCTTCTGGACGTAAATGTAGCTTCACTATGCGCACGTTTTGTTGAACTCTCCTTTTGCTTGTAATGGTAAGAATAGAGGTAAAAGCGCGTTGCTGTTTTGTTAGCAATGCAGAAAAATCATACTTGCAATTCGTGTACCAATGTAAAGAAGTTTTTTATAACTCGGAAACGAGAATGACAATTTTTCAAATATTGCTAATCTTGCGATTTTTAAAATTTATTTTTATTTCTTTATGTTAAACTTTTACTCATCTTTCAACTATTTATAGTTAAAATGACGGGAAGGGATTCTGGAAGTCAAGAAAACGTACGCAGATAATATTTTTCTTCCTACATCACATACAGTTTATACTGTTTTTTGATTGAATAAATCTAAATATAAATTTTCGCC